GAGCGGTTCCTGTTCAACTGCTCCTTCCAACCTTTATTCTTATTTCCTAAAGATAAGTGTTTACAATTCCAACATCATCCCTCTTGCCAAATTCTCTTTCTATTCATTATGTCTAAATTCTTTGACTTTCCTACAAAGAACTGTAGATATTTCATGCATCTTATCACTTGAACGAGAAAAATTACCTTAAAAGGTCCCAAATTATGAAGGCCTTTTTAAATGGAAGAAAAAAATATAAAACTCTATAGATCTACCTTTGAAGCCCAAAAACCCAAAATTTTACTTTGTGAAGGAACTAATTTCATTGTCATGACATAGTTATGGAATATCAGTGGACCCAATGCTTAAACTGGCGCAATTGGGTATTAAGGCGTTTTCTATTCGTGAGATGAGACATAAGCCTCGAGACAGTCTGAGGCATAAACCTCACAATTTGAAAATTGCATTAAACCAAAATAAAGGGGTAAAAATGAAACATTTGCATCGCTATATATATATATATATATATCGCACATTAAAAAGTCACAAATTGCATAAGCTGCAAGATATCTATAATAACAAACAATAATATAATGTAAACATCAACTGATCAAGTCATCAAATTAACATAAAACATGAAATGAAAATAATAGAAAATATCAAAGATTTAATAGGATTTTCACATATTAGACTTCTCTCACTCTTATTGCTCAATCAATTAAATAACATTCATAAATAAGTAATAAAAAATAGGAACGGTGGGCAATGGCGGTGACAACAAGAGTTGCTAATGGTGGTGGTGGCAATAAGAGCAGCAAACGACAATGGGTACAACAGAAACAATAGGTGGCTATAACAAAAGAAGTTGGCTATCATTGTAGTGTAGCAAGCAGCAACAATGATGTTGGCGGCGGAAACAGCGGCGTCAATGATGGCGACGAAAGCAGCAGTGCAAGTAGCAAAAGTAGCAAGTGACGATGATGTAAAGCTTAATTAGGGCGAGGGGAGTTCTTTAACATGAGAGTGCGGCTTTGTTTCGTATTCAAACAAACTAACATTAGAAGAAAAAATCCCAAGTGCGAGAGGTGCAAGCCTCAACAAAAATTGAGCATAGATAGGCCTCAAACAATGTGAGGCGTACACCTCGCCCGAGATGCTTGAGTCGTAAGCCTCAAAGTGTTTTTCTTCGTGATTACAAATTGCACAATTTTAAACAATGAATGGACCTTTGATGTTTCCCTCCATCTCAACAGAGATGAAAGATTTTGCATCCTCAATAAAATCAAAACAAAACTCATTGCCATTAATCTTTTGTCATTGAATACTTTAACACCATGAAAATTTAGTGAGTTAGAGTATTACCAAGATTTCAAGATGTTCTACAGTTAGGATACGGATCCTTATAAAATTCATCGAGCGAGAGAGAATTTTTACGTTTTTGGTAGGACTCAACAATAAATTGACCAAATCTGAATCCAAGTTTTAGGCATTCTCTCATTCAATGAGAAGAAGGAATGATGGTGATGATCAATTGTTCAGCCCTTGAGATTCTGCCATACAAACTTCTAAATCCTAATGTAAGAGATTTGTTGTCACGTTACCTTCTTCAAAAGAAAGACGACATCCTTTTTTCAAAGGAAATCTCCTGTGCGACTACTGCAAAAAGAAAATGCACACGAAATACAAATGTTGAAAACTTAATGAAAAACAACCAGAACATGGAAATACAAATACTCGAGGCATACAGCTCAAAGCGTTTTTCTTCATAATTGCACTGAGGAGCCTCAAGGTGCACCTCAAATTGCACAATTTTAAACAATGAATGGACCTTTTATGTTTCTCTCCATCTCAACAGAGATTTAGGACACAGTTAAACAAAACATACTCAAGATCTCAACAGAGATTTAGGTCGCATCGTCAACAAAATCAAGGCAACTCAACACTATCAAACGAAGTAACCTTTATGTGATTGAATACTTTAACACCATGAAATTTACTGAATTTTTATGTTTGGCAGAACTCAACAATGAATTGACCAAATTCGAATCCAAGTTTTAAGCAAAGATATCGCTTCTTTAAAAAAAATATTCTCTCGTTCGAGCAGAAGAAGGAATGAAGTTGATGATCAATTATTCAACCCATGAGACATCTGCCATAACAACTTCTAAGTCCTAAGGTGAGAGACTTTTTGTCACATAACCTTCTTCAAAAGAATGACAACATCTATTTTTCAAAAGAAATCTCTAGTACAATTACTGCAAAAAAAATTATAAAAAAAAACAAATGTTGAAAACTTGATGGAAAACAGCAACATCATAGAAGAAATAAAGGTAGAAATAAAAAAGCACGTCTGCTTAGTAGAGTCAGAAGGACTTGATTCAAAAGAAATCGACAAATTATGAAATTTAATCAACTCCTTAGAAAAATCATCAGAATTTTATTCTCTTGCTCAGAATGTATGATTTCTAATTCTTATGCTCTTAAAGTCTCTAATAGCTCTTCCCCTTCAGAGATCTTAGATTTAAGGGCCACCGACCACATGAAAAACCTTGTCGATATATTTCAAACTTACAAAACTATCCAAATAATATGAAAATAAAAAATTGCGGATGAATCTTTAAAAACTGTTGCAGGACAAGAAGACATTAATTTCTCCTAGATTAAGGACAAGAAGACATTAATTTCTCCTAGATTAACCATTAGTAACGTATTACATGTCTCATATTTTGCATTTAACTGTTTATCCATTCACCAATTTGCCAAGTAACACAACTGCAAACATGATCTCACTATGGGAAAGATGATTGACCAAGCTAGAGAAAATGATGAGTTATACCTTCTTGAAAATCGAGGTCAACTATTATAATCCTTAACCTTTCATAATATAAAAAAAAACGAGCGTTATAGATTAGGACATTCTACTTTTAAAAATCTTCAGTATCTATTTCCTTTGCTTTTCATAAATATAAATATTAAAGATATTCATTGTGAAACTAGTAAATTTGCTAAACATCACTGTGTTTCCTTTCCTGAACCTAACCCTAGATCTTCTTGTCCTTTTTGCATTAATTCATTATAATATATGGGGACCCTCTAAAGCCCCAATATCTCTAGAACCTTGGTTTTGATATGTTCATTAATAATTGCACTCAAATTACATGGGTATATATTTAATTAAACATAAATATGATATTAGCACTATACTCTATATAGTCAATGTAATAAAAAAATCATTTTTTTCAAACTAATATTACTCATGATTTTTTTAATCACATATTAACAACATTCATTAAAAAAAATAATATTATACACCAATCTTCTTGCCTTAAAAATCCCCAACAAAATGGAATGACAGAAAGAAAAAATCATCACATTTTAGAGACAACTAAGACACTTCTCCAGCATAAACAAAAATCCAAATAATATTAGGGAGAAGTTGTTCTAATACCTATATATTTAATCAACA